CCCAATGGCTTGTGAGATATATTAAAATACAAATTTTAATGTTGCCCACTCAGTTGTAAAACAGCTATGACCTGTTTTGATGGCTTTGGGCAACTCCATAAAACTTTGAAAAGATAAATATCACCTGTTATTCAATCATGTGTGCTAATGCTAGAGATGATCTATACATTTCAGACAGCTGTTCAAAAGTACTAAGCCTAAAATTTAGAAAAAAATTTTCATTGCAGTTTTTTAACCCTATCCGCACGTTGTGTATTTTTATCGTATCCATACAACATGGGGAACTCTGTGCCACCACTTTCCAAAGAGAAAATTTACTCTTTAATCTGATCCACACGCTTTGCATAGCAGTCTGTCAAAATGCTTTTTTGAGAAATACTGAAAGTGTCAAAAAGATCGTCGTACTAGAAGCATTTTAAAATATGAAAAATACAACACCGGGGGTACAAAATGACCCCAGGGCATAAGGGTAGGGTTAATTTGTGGGATCCGTTGCATGAGCTCAAGAAATGTATTGTCAAAATTCAAATTCTAAATGTAGAAAAAAAAAACCCAACATAGATACATAAATCAAGTACAAGTGTTAAAAGAATAAAACAGTTTTTTTTGTCTCCCCCCCAAAAAAAATTGCTTTCTGGGCTTAGAACATTTTAGCATCTTGCTGACGATATAGTGCTTAGGTCCAATGGGTACTCACAGTTTTTGTTTTTGAAGATGTTCATAACAGGGAGGATTTGCCTGTAGTAGGGCACAAGAGCCTCACCCACCATTTCAGCTGAGACAACAAGATGCTGCAGCACTTTTAACGTTGTGCACAGAACTTTATGTTTCCGAGTGTTCAGAGCATCTGGAAAGTAAACAAATTATCATGAAATGCATCCTTATAATATTTACCTGAAATATTTGACATAACCTGAGATCAGAAACTGCTCAATCTTTATATCTTAGAATATAATAATATGGTAAGTAAGCTTATGATAATTAGACCTTCATATGATCTTTTAATTGAAAGGAGTATCAACTCCATACAATATCATGCATACCTTTTCTATACTTGAGTAATTTTTAAGGGGTGCTTTTACGCTTTTATCTTCTTGATATCTGCCTGCAGTAGCAATGAATTGGTTACAAAAATTTTGTGAATGTTGAGGAAACTTAATTCTCACTGTAGACTGGATTTAAAAAATTTTCTTGACGCCTAAACGTATGGCGCTCGGGAGGGCTCCTTTGCATGTTTTTATATGCAGCGTGCGTTTCCATGAACCTGTGCAAAGAGAGGAAAGGATGCAATCATTTCATTGCCTTGATATTTTAGTGACCCCCCTTGAAGGCTCAGGATCACTTTGGCCGATAAAGTGACGATACGTGACTGTTTTGAGAAGGATTCCCCAACTGCGGTTATGAATACAAAGGCGTTGTGAATGGGTTGGCGAGGGCGGGGGGAGG